TACTATTTTTCGAATAACTTTTGATAGGAACGAGATAGAGAGCTGCGGTTTTCGTTATTCCAAAGCGTAAGAACTAGGCACTGATTACCTATAAAACTCAAGCGAACGATATCAAACATGGATGCATTTAATTTGCTAGACTTTTCCCAAGTTGTGCAATTCCAACAAGATCTGTTACATATTTCTTGTTCAAGAGTGGGTTTGATAGTCTGGATCATGCTCTATGAAATTATGCAAACCACAGATCTCTATAATTTATCACTTGGACAAGGCATCACATCTGCTGGAAGCAACTGCATAGAATTTCATAAGTTTTCATTTCTTCTTGTAACAGAAAATGTATAAAAAGTAAAATCTTCAAATTGGAATACAAATTCGTAACAGAGCTGGAAATTTTACAAAAAAATGGAAGATATATGCAAATTCATTGCATATGTGGTGTAGTGTGTTAGTTTCAAAAAGTTTTCTTTTATTATTGCTGATGATCCAATGTTTATTCAGCCATAATAATATTCTTTGTCCTTCTATGGCCCCATTACATGTTTATTAACATTTTTATTCTTTCTCGTTTTGTACTTTTTACAATATGAGGAGAGATATGAGCAAGAAAAGGAATGCGCACAGGGTTTTCACTTGTTTTGTTTGCATTTTTTCAAATCCAAATAAAAACGAAGTAATGATACTGATCATAAATTGAATGATGATACAAGTTAAGAACCTGAGAATGAGACCAATAAAGAGATAGATGAAGGTACTGATGATTGAATTTCTGTTTTATCGTGAAATTTTCAGCTCTGTTACGAATTTGTATTACGATTTGAAGACTTATTTCATACACCAAGTCAGCAGCATTCCTTTTGGGTTTTTTCATACGTTTTCTTTTACAAGAAGAAATGAAAACTTATGAAATTCGATCCAGCTGCTTCCAGTAGATTGGATGCCTTGTCCAAGTGATAAATTATAGAGACTTGGGATTTGCGTAGTTTTATAGAGCATGACCTGGACAATCAAACTCACTCTTGAACAAGGATGTGGGTGTCGATGTAGTTTTTCTATGACGCTCACACCCATACACCCACATACATCCTCAAGCTTGAATAAATGTCAAGTTAGTCAAAAATGAAAACTAAAATAATGTACGATTAATATATATTCTTTTGTCTATTAAAGGTAAATATCCGTAGATTGATATATGAAAAAACGTGACCAGAGTTCGTTTATGAAGCTGTTGGTGGTGAAGCAAACTTGCCACTGAATAAAAGAATATTTTGTCGACTTTCACGGATGAAAAATAAAAATGGTCGATCAGCTTTGAATTCAATAGGCTGTTTTTCTTGCCGTCTGGGTGCACAACAACGATCCATGATAACAGCTGTAGCTGCTGCTGCTTCTGAACCTAAATAAAATTATAGAAATAAATAAAAACAATCGAACAATCTTCAATTATGACTTAACATCGATATCAAAGATTTATCAAGAAATTTTACTTATTTTTCATACTAATGTATAAGAAGGATGAACTTAATCTTTGTGAATATTTTTCTAAGTAAAATACTTTAGCAAAGACAACTAATTATATGGTAAGATTACACAAGAGGGTACTCGTGATGTTGTCTGATATTTTGAGATGAAACAAAATTGAACACAATATAGTCGTGTCAGAATCACCATAGAAACTTATATTGAGTGTTTCTTGCGAGATTTTGATGCCTTGTAAAATGTCATTTTAACAATATAAGAAGATCTTTCTTTTAATAAGATTTTTGAGAATTTTAATGGTAGAATTTCATGTAAGCCTTTCGAGAATACAATTATGTCTATAATATTCATAAGATTATATCTGATTTGTTCACTTTTATGTTTCTGTACTTAACTCAAAATAAGTGTGGAACCACGGATTTAAATCGGAGAGTTATGTTTACTTCAAAAAGTGAATGAGACTGATGAGTCATTCTAGAATGTCTGGACATCAAAATTATTCTGGCAAGCCTTTTCTATAAACACTTGATTTCTATTGACTACTGCTCAACTAATGGAGTTCTGAGGCAAGTGGAGTACATATTCGAGTTCTCCGTTCCAGAAAAGCTCGAAGTATCATCTCTGTGATCGGAAGATAGAGCTCTAATTTTGGATCAATTAGAACGTGTACAAAAACAGAGCCAATTTCCATTTAATTATCGTTGCCATAGGTGAATTAACCTCCTTGTTTCTTTATGTTTTATATACCATTTTGTAGGTCGTGAAATTCTCTGTCGAATGGTATATAATACTAGAGGTTTTATTTGGCTATGGTAGAAAAAGTTTTTTTATGAAAACAGGAATAGGTCGATCTTCGCATAGAAAAGCATAGGAAATAATGTCTATTTTTGCAATAACTCAGCAACGGCTCGTTCAGTCATTCTCGTCTTCGAACTAGACCGAGATTTGGTTGAGACTAAACTGTGAAAAAAAATTTCATCACGATCGACCTCTCCTTTCAAAAATTATCGAGTAAACGACCACATGGATGGACACACTGACCGATTCTAGAGTGTACTCACTTTTTGAGTACTCAAAAATCGCTTTTGACAACTTGAACACATAGCTGAACCATTATTGTTTATATATTATTCTCTGTCATTTGATGGAGCCTGCTCGAATACAGAACTCACTGAAGTCATATTTTTCTCTTTCATCTTTGTTTTAGATAATAAGAGTGATATGGCTAGTATCGTAAAACTGTCTCAAGAACAAATTTTTGAAGATTTTGACGGCAACTAACTTGACATTCTTAGACTATAACATAGAATATGTTTAAGAAAAGGAGTTTTCTTGTGCACTGCAACCCAGATTCGTTTTCAAAACATGAAATTAAGATATTTATGTGCAACACTTAGAAAATCTCAAGTTGTCCAATAAATTATAGTTGGCAGTTGCTTGATGAATATTCATGCAATTTGAATATTTGTGACCCAAAATCGCATTTAAATCAACTTCAAATGTTTTTACAAATATAGCATAATCATTGTCCTTGTCTCAGATCCTCTACAATTTAGATACAGAAAATCAATTTTTTCACTCTCCTAACTACTAGTCTTTATCAATAAAATATTCTAGAAAAATATCTGAACTTACCAAGTTCATTCACATCGATAAATGCTTTATGAATAACCTACAATTTTATATAATAAAAAGATTTATATTTTCTGATGTATAACATTTCTACCCTGCTAATATATAAACCACTTCTATCATCTTGTTCACTAACCATACCAGTAAAATCTGCTTTGCTTCCATCAAATGCATTTATCATTCCAAGTTGTATAAGAACATCATTTAATTCAAATTTAGCTTCCATTTTAAATTTTGGCAAGTATAAAAGAAGTTCTTTTCTTGTTATACCTTCATCATTTAACACTCTTTTCATTAAATCTGGTTTTGATGCTAATTTCTGTTCAACTCTATCTAATGGAATACCTCGTTCTGGTAAAATTACAGTAAAAACAAATTGAACACCATGTTTATCACTTTGATATGGTAAATGAGCAATTTGTACATTTAAATCGCTATTTTCAGCATAACTAAATGTTTTTTTTGATGCATTAGTTTTATTTTTGATGTTTTACCATTAGCTTCATGAAAGTCAGCATTTTGATTGGTTAAATGTTCTTTGAATTGTTTCATCCATGTACCCTATTATTTATGCAATAAAGAAAAAAAATCTTATTACTTTCATGAAAACTAATATTCACCTTAAAATAAACACAATTCACAATAATCAATCGTGTATCACGTTTTACATCATTTGGCGTGAGTAAATTTTTAATTAAACTATTTGTTTGTTCTTCAACCCATCCATTGATTGTTTTAACAACATGTGTACTATCATTTTCAAAATCTTCAAGTTTAATATCAGCTTTAAAAGAACTTTGAACAAGACTTAAATAATCTTTTTGAAGTTTATATGTCTTTTGTCCATAAAGACGATTAGCTAATTTAAGTTTAACTTGTGTATCGTTATCAACAATAGAAAATATACGCATAATTTGTTCAGCTGTTTTTGCTAACTGTTCTATTGATGCCACATCAAGAACATGTAACATTTGATTTAGCGTTTCATTTTGAGCACCAGCTGCACACATAGCCATAGCAAGAGCAATACTTGCTGGTGAAAGAAAGAAATTTTGATTTTTATTATTTTGACTAACAGTTAAATAAACTTTGTGACCAAAATTTTCGAAATCTATATCTGTTGATGATAATGTTGAAGCCATATATGTCTTTCGTGTGTATGGGAAAAAAAAAGAATGAAGAAAAAGGCTGCTGTCGATGTTTTTATATCTTATTTTTCAAGGCTATGTTTACTTTAGTCGTTTCTGTTTGACTCAACATATAAATAGGAGCACAAGAAAAAATATACTTCTTGTATGAATAATCTAATGAGTCAACAGTAAAGAGAAATAAATAAATGTCGGTTATTCATTACATTTTTTTTCTTCATTCATAAAATTATTGGTTAAAACATAATAATTTGTGGTATATTTTTCACATTTGTATCAAGAAGTGAATTGCTTTTATATGGTGAAGTAGTTTTAATTATTATTTCTTTTTCAATTCTGATTCATTTCTAGAGAAGTAAATATGACCATATTGAGTTTCTTGTACAAATTATTATGTTAGAGAAAAATATCTTGTAAGACTCAATCAACAATGGTTTATATTTTATGAAATAACAAACTACTATATTTAAAGAAAAATCTGAAAGTCTACTAATATCGGTTTCAAAATAAAAAAAGGGTGAGTATTTTTAGAATAACTTTTGATAGGAACAAGATAGGGAGCTGCGGTTCTCACCGTTGGAAAGAGGCGATGAAACTGCATCGATTCGTATATTTCAGATTTTTTTCTGCCAAGTATTTTAAGGGTTCCTTCACAAGTTTTCAAAAGATAAAGCGTTATATAATGTAAATATTATGGACTTTTAATTTTTAGTAGGACACTAGAATCACTAACTAAAGACCTATCAGCTATACAAGCCCGACGTTATTATCTTTAGCTAATCATGAGTTAGGAACACGTTACTGTGTGTTTTCAGTCAATTTTTAACGAACAAATCCTTTTTTTCCTTAGTTTTTAATAAAAAATCAATTTCTTCTACGTCTAAAATCTTTGAGTTTTTAAAAAACTTCTTGGCAAGACCTTTAAAATACTTTCAGAAAAAATCTGAAATATACGAATCGATGCAGTTTCATCGCCTCTTTCTAACGGTGAGAACCGCAGCTGTCTATCTTGTTCCTATCAAAAGCTATTCTAAAAATACTCACCCTTTTTTTATTTTGAAACCGATATTAGTTGAGTTCTTTTCATATTCATTCAATAGACAGTTTACAAAATGTATATGTTGACATATGTAATTTTCGTACTGTTGAGATTACATCAATGAGACTTCAGAGTTCGAAGCCATTTCACGATGTAAGAACAAACAATATTTTCAAGGAATAGTGTTTGGGCATAGTTCGAATCGTCGTTTTATTTTAAATGAGATATGAATTAATCAAATGCATCGAAAATTCTTTGATTTTACTTAATGAAAAATCTCTTTACTTTGTAACCATATGTATTCTCTTATCTTCCATTGATAGCAAAACTTAATTGAAATGGTTCAGATAAAATACAAACTGATAAATCTTGACAATTGTTGCTCAATGGAGATCGATGTAATTTGAATTCTGTCTCATGATAGTTCAGTTTTTCATGAAACAGTATCAGCAAAATTTTCCTCTGATACGCTTGATATATTTTCTATGAGTTTACGACTTACATGCATTTCAAAAAGAGTTATACTCTCTTTCAATCCAGATATCATTACAAAATATTTCATATGAACAGAAACTGTAAATTCATTAATCCCATATTTAATATTTGGTTTTTAGATGGCTACGACGCATTTAAGACTGCTCATTCAGCAACGGAAATAATTCAACTAGAAATGCTTCAGATACCACGCAATATCCAAAATGCTCTGGATCTGCTGGGCGGAACCTATTCGTCGTCAATGATTAACGATATGCTGCCAGATGTGTTAGAAAATATTAAAGATTCAGGAAACAAATGTGTCAAAGAGGCAAACAAAACTGAGAATGAATTTTCAAAGGTGATGTCACTTATTGGAGAAGTAATCGAGGTGACGGTAACTACCCAGTCAATTCATGAAAGTGAAATTCGTAAGAATATGGACAAACTTGCAGTATTACGAAAGATGGAGGATGATATAAAAGCGGAGGAAAAAATTCGTGTTGAACAGTACAATGAAGCAAAAGAAGCGGCAAAAAAGGCCGAAGAATTCTATTATCAAGCTATGAATGAGATACCGACAAGCTTCGAAGCAATGCTCCAGGAAATTCCCAGACTCTTAATAAACGCAATTCCTGCGATTGCACTAACTAAGTTTTTTCCATCCATGGGAGGAATACCTGCTATGGCGGGTGACTATAAGGGTAATGCTGGATCCACGGGAGGAGTAGCTGTTACGATGGGCAACCATATCCATAAACCTGGATCCATGGGAGGGCAGCCGTCTATGATGGACAACAACCAACATTATAATGACAGTCCAGATATGCCAATGAATTCTGCTACCAACTCAACGCAATCCGTCGGTTATTCCCAAACACTTCTGCTGGCGAATCAATTTTCTGAGGTACTGCAATCAGTTTTAGGAGGTCTCTCTAAGAATCTTCAGAACAGTACCCTATTGAAAGATTTCGTGAAAAGCTGCAGCACATTTGAACACATTATCCTGTCGCTAGGCGATAATTCTGCAAAGGTGGAAGTACTAAATCTGATCCGACGTTCAGAAAATATTACAGATACTACATTAACTGGCTTCAATCAAAAGAAATCAGGCAAAGCGAAAAGCAGCACGTTGGTAAAGCAATTACAGAAAATTGCTGAAGACCTCAAACCACTCCTATCAGCAGCTAGATATGTCAATCCCACGCTTGCAGCAGACAATATTATGAAAGTTGGAAATTCAAAGGATTCTCATAGTATACAATCATCGAAAAATGAATTATATAAAGCTCGACTTGCTCAAGCCAATTCGGTAGAGATGAAACGTATTCAAGACAAACAGGCTCAAGAACATTTAGCACTGGTCACCGAAATGCGCCATTTGAGTAGCCAAATGGTTGGTATTAATTTTACCACCATTAATTATGAAAAAATTGTTGAAATGCTTCAAGAGACACTTGTATTGCTTTCTCGACTGCGTGAACAATGGAATCACTTCGTTCGCTTTTACTCTCACATTTCGAATCAAATCACAAGTATGGTTGATGGGTCATTGAAAAGTTTCCTGAAAGCATCAGCAAAGGGAACTCACGCAGAGAGAAGCAAACGTAAGGAGCTTGTTAACTATCTCAAAGGAGACGCATCTAGTGTCCACCATATGGCTTATGTTATTTATGTCATGCCCCGCACCTAATATGAAGTATCAAGTCGATATTTGTTGGATCGACTTGCAGGTCTTAGTGAGATGCTCACAGTTCGTAATGATGAAGAACGGACTGTAATGATGAAAAAACTCGCAGATGAAACGAAATCAGTCACTCAACAGGTTGAAGCACTCATCCAAGAACAACAGAAAAAAATTAATGAAGCTGTGCGTAAGCAAGAGATAGAAATCCGCAAAGTGATCACCAAATCAGGTGACAAAGGAGCAACTGATCTAGCTGCAATCCAGAAAGGCAAGCAGATGTCCCGTACTGATAATCCATGTGGAAGGCCACGTATCCAATAAATCAACCTTTCTTCACTCAATTTTCCTTTTTTGTCTAAGTTTAACAAGAACGATTTACATAAACATTTTTATCGCTATGATTATTTATTGATCTTTGAATTCACTTTTATTTAACACAGCCATACATATTCTTCTGTAATCGCCCGTCATTCAGTGTTCTGATTTTCTCGTCTTATGGCTAAGCTGACTTTTCGTTTTATTTCTTATCACTTTTTTGTATTTTCTTATGTTAAGTCCTTTACTCTACCATTTAAAATGCTTATTTACATTACAACAACATATGCATGTGACTAATCGATCTTCTCAATACTAAAGAAACTGTGGTCTAGTCATAGAAATCTTCCTTCATCGCGTAACATTCAGCTCGAATGCAACTATTAGCGAGCTTTTCTCAACGCAGTCGTGAAGTTCAGTGAATCGCTCATATATATTTGATTTCAAGAAGAAATACGGCAACGGAATGAATAATTTGCATTTGTATTGAGTTCAATAGACTTTGACGACCGGTAAATTGCTCAGAAACTGTTCGAAATGTTGAAGTATTCTTTTCAAAGCAACCTATACGTATGTCAATCGAACATTATTACTTTGACTATACAAATTTGACTAAATATTGATCTATTTGTATTTTCAGTGCATCAATTAGAAATACAGGCAAATATTTATTAAAATGAAAAAGCACTTGTCGCTGTTTTTTCTGTATAAATACGACTCAACTATCTGTTTGCGCATTTGTATCGAAGGCTTAGAGCATTTACAACTTGGTTTCGAAGGTAGGTTATGGTATCCAGGAGCATAATCAATCAGTTAAGTAATTAAATAGTAAAGAAGAATAATGGTTTTGACAACTATTTAAAGAAACCTCGAAATAGTAAAATTATAAATTGAAAATAAACACAAGATAATATTGGCTTGATAATCATTTTTCAGTGCTTGATGTTAGATTTTGTTAAGCAATAGTATAAATGAGCTTAAAATAAAGTCGTTTCTTTCGTATGGAATGAGAAAAAGACATCTAAGTTTGAATATTTGTACTCATCGTTATTTCCCTGTTTAATAGACTTTACAAAAGTTTTTATTATTTACATTCAATCAAACACAGCGATGTTTCTATATCTTTGTCTCGTTTTGAAAATGGTGATAACAATCACTGATAGGCATGACATGGATACTTTGATACTTGAAGCTATTCTCAAAGAAGGCAAATATTGAGTTTCAGAAAATAAAGCAGACTACGCTGTTATCCAAGGTGATGGCAATTTTGTTGTTTATGTTTCAAACCAATTTCGTCCAAAAAATGAGCTCTGGTGTTCGAACACTAGCTTCAAACCACACTTCGTTGGTCCATATCAATTAGCCATGCAGAATGATAGGAATCTTGTTTTATATGATTGCAGATCTTATTCTGTATGGAATTCTAATACTGAACGTTCTCTTCGAATCCTTCAGTGACGATTATGTTCTACTATAAAGTACCATTTCAATGAAACAATAAAATATTTCATGAATTTTCTATCTAAAACACATTGAAGAGATTAAAGAGATAAATGTTCAACGTTCTCATTTTTTCTAAAGAAAAAAAACGTAAAATACTAGTGCATGTCTATCTCTAGGAGGTCTTGATATGAGCTCGATCATCAACAACGAAATAGTTTCGAAGCAGAATACAGAGTGCTTCATTTTCTCTTGTTGGTCAACCGGACATCTTTAGAATCGAGCACTGCAAGAATTCAAACAAATACAGGAATTTAGAGAATTATTACGTGTTCGTATTACTATAGACGCAACAAAGAAACATGCAAAATTAGTAGAAAGTTGATATGAAGAATTAATAAAAATAAACGGAGATAACCAAGCGAAAATTTCATAAGATTTCAAAAGAAAGAATGAATCAACACCTGACTTTTATTCTTTCTATTCGTTTTACTAGTGTACTGTGCATTTTTTGCATGAAGTGGCAAATATCAAATTGGTACAAATTTTGAAGTCTACTTGTCAAAATTATTTAAAATTTCAATTCTTGAAAATTTTGAAAATGTTCATAAATTTACAAATTTTAAAATTCTTACAATTTTATGTGTCCATAAATAAAACTATACAAACTTTTAGACACTTCCACTTGAACTAAAATGAGGAATGAAAATCAAAATTTGACTTACGAATCATATACTTTTAGCAGAAATCAGACGTTTATTCATACTATACATTTTTAAAATGTTGTCAGAAATGAGAAATTTATTGACACTGCATTTCTAAAATGTACCAGAAAAGCAGAAATCAGAACTTTACTTACATTAGGTATTTTTGGATTTCAGAAATATATAATAGGAGAAAATTTCTGATATCTGTTATATTTTAGAAATGTATAGTGTGAGTAAATTTCTGATTTCTGCTTTTCTGATACTCATTAAAATTGATGGATAAGAGTGAATATCTCAGGGTGGGCGTGGGTGTAAGCTTTGCCTTCATCTCACCCACACTCACACCCACACCCCACACCCACACCCCACACCCCACACCCACACCCATCCTAGGGATTGATTGCAGTTGCGTTGTCGTCTTATGATGATGATGAATGGAGCAACGCCGTCTGATGAGACAATTAAGCAAGTTCGAAACTGGGTGTGGGTGTTGGCATGGATGAGTAGATCTTCTCTTTATTCACACCCCACACCCACACCCCAAGGAAATCATCCATTTTCATTTAAATCCAACAGTTTTTTTTAATCAAATTTGTGTTTGAAGTCTAGATTGCATGTATGTATAGACATAAAATTATTAATTGTTCATTCGTTTAAGATAATGAATATGATTCAACATTATTCAAAACAACATTTATTGATGCATCACCAGCTAAATCGCTCCTTAAGCCACCAGTAACTAACACGTTTCCATTTAAGACTGATAATTCATGGCGATATCGTGCATTATTCATACTACCAGCAGTTGTCCAAGTTCCTGTTGATGGTTTATAAAGTTCAGCACTATTCAAATAACAACTACCAGCAAATCCACCAGTAACTATCACTATTCCATTTGTTAATACGGATGCTTTGTGAAAAGCTCGTGCATTAATCATACTACCAGTCGCTTTCCAAGTTTTTGTTGATGGATCATACAACTCAGCACTATTTACAGAAAAGGTACCATTGTGTCCACCATTAACTAACACTTGTCCATTTAATAATACAGATGCTGTATGTGAATATCGAGTATTATTCATACTACCAACCGTTGTCCAAGTTCCTGTTGATGGATCATACAACTCAGCACTATTTAGAGAAGCACTATTATTGTTTCCACCAGTAACTAAAACTGTTCCATTTTGCAATACGGATGCTGTGTGCCAAAATCGTGGATGATTCATACTATTGATCGTTGTCCACGTTCCTGTTGATGGATCATACAACTCACAACTATTTAGAGGACCATAATGATATCCACCAGTGATTAACACTGTTCCGATTTTTAATACTGATGCTGTATGATCCATTCGTGCATTAATCATATTACTAGTCATTGTCCAAGTTCCTGTTGATGGATCATACAGCTCAGCACTATTTAGAGCTTTGCCATTATATCCACCAGTAACTAATATTTTTCCATTTGTTAATGAGGATGCTGTATGGGATTGTCGTGTATATTTCATACTACCAGTCATTGTCCAACTTCTTCTTGATGGATCATACAACTCAGCACTATTTACAATATAATTGCCATCATATCCACCAGTAACTAACACTTTTCCATTTAGTAATATAGATTGTGTGTGAATAGTTCGTGCACTATTCATACTACCAGTGTTAAGCCATCCTAAAAAAACCATTCGAATTTATTCAAATCGACAGAAAAACAGCAGAGACTTCGTTCGTATAGTTATATGATTTCCTGAGATCTCATGAAATCTATTAAATAGTGTTTCTGCTGATAACTGTACCGGACAAAAGCAAAATGTAAGATACAACAAATTTAGAATTCGAGCGCCACACAATTTCTGGAGGGTGTGGATGTGAGGATGAGTAAACAAGTTGATGATCTCTTCATCTACATTTGCAACTTCACCTACGTGTACCCACGATATGAATATCTATCACCCCATCTTAGTCCTCTAATACCACATCCCTAATGGAGAGAGAATCCAAATAGAATACATGTGAGAAAGAAAAGGAACGAAAAGAAAAAAAAATTGAATTCACAGTATATCAAGGATGTCCCATAACAACTGAGGATAATTTGTTATTGATAGTTTCCATACTTTTACTAGACCTGTAGAGCTAAAATTTTTATTATATATATATATATGTATCTAATCAAGATCTTTTATTTCTCCAAGTTTCGGCTCTGTAATTAGAATAAGGAGAGAACATTCTTTGGCAAGACTGAAATACATAAATTTTCGTGTTCGATTTTCCAATATTTTCAGTACGTATGAACATGCCGTTCATTATTTTCGCGTAATTTTCTATCAAAAATTTTCTCCATGCTTTTCTAATTTCTTGTTCTAATTCGCGAATGATGTGGTAAACACTTTCGCACGTATTTTTCTTTCCGTGCTTCCCATAAATTTTCTATTTTCCATACATTAGCACATTTAGCAAGCAATTGGTCTGTTAAGTACATTCTTTGTCGTGTCTCATCAGATGAAGTACGTTGTTGTTTTAGCTATTTAGTAACATTATTTGGTACATGTGATAGAAGAAGACATCGTGATGATATTGCACCCGAAAATATTACACTCTTTGAAAATTTATCTGTATGTGCGTTGAATTCGCTTCAATTTATTCGCCTTCGTTGACTCATACACCATATTTTCTTTTGTTTTAAAAACCTTGAAGATGAAATAACTCTGAGAAATCAAAATTCACAACATAATTCCATATTATTTTTTAGAATTTTTCCTAACACCAAATTTTGTTCTTCAGTTTTCTGCACATTTAATACGTTTCGATGCATTGAACTTTTAAACGATGTAAATTGTTCTCTGTTTAGAATAACATCAGTTTTTCTAATAAACATCTTTTTGCAAATTAATATAGTAATTAAGATTTTGTTGAAAGTTAGGTGCTGTAATTGTTGCGGAACGACCAGATCTTTTTAATATTCGTGACACTCAGACGTGCAATTAATTATATTTTAATGATGGTGAATTATCGTAACTTTGAATGAAGAGAACCATACGAACAACGCTCCATGTTGTATTCAAACGTTTTAAATTCAATACAAAATTTCTAAATTTTTTTCTAATGTGGTGACTGATGGACATTTTAGATAAAATTTGTTATTAAATGCAAGCGATTCTACATTGAAATGTACCTCTATATGTATCAATAAACAAAATTTAGTCACTTGTATGCAGATACCAATATCGCTCACTAATTCTCTCTCTTATATAAATTTGTTTGTATATGCGTATGTATGAATTAGTCATACAAGAATATTGCCTTGTATATTGAAAATAGTAAAAAATAGAATACGAAAAATTTATGAATTTCAGTCTTGTCAAGGTATGTTATCACTAGTTATAGATATCAATAATAAATTATCATCAGTTATTATGGGACATCCTTTATATGTTTAATTCAACTGAGCTTCTGATGTCTATAGATAGAGAACTGCTAAATCAACTACACACGGACAATAGTACAAATAGAGCAGCTTTTCTTATTGTTTTTAGATAAAATTAGTGCGGAAACTTCTTCGAGTACACTATGTACATTTGAAAAAGATCTGGTAAAGAAAGAAGGAGGTGCAATAGTGAAATATTCGTTGTGCTATGGTGATTTCAATGTCTTTGAATGCATGTAAAATAAAGGAGTCAATATCTTGCAAAATAAATTGTCTCGCCTTTGAGTTGAAAAGAATATCGACAATTATACCTGCAATATTCGTAACGTTAGCGGTGGGTCTTGATCCTAAAACAGAGCCAAGAATGATTGCACCGATAAACAGAATAATCAATAAGCAAATCAGAACGACAAATCTCTTCTTGTGATACCAGCGAAGTCTTGTAAAAAATAGAATGAAAACTTCTAATAAAAGTACAATTAGGAAAGAATGTAGTTAGACTTACTCAATTTTTGGATAAAGACGTGCACCTAGATATAGAAATACTATTATTTCAAAGTAAATGCTTGGAAAACTTTGAAATACCTTCGAATGGAGGTTCAAGAAGCATTTCTTTTGGTTTGATCTGTTTCAAATGAATGATATGAAGATCAGACGCTGGACTTAATTGTGATTGAACTATCATTTGGGTACCCGGTAGCAGAAGAATTTCATCTTCCGAAACGAATTGTGAATGGGAATATATTGCCCGACCATTAATAGCTTCCACAGAGAACAACGTTCTCTTACCCGTATCGCCCAAGTACATATTGTTTTCAAGCACGGCCAATGAAGTTGTACAAGATGAAAATGCCCACCAAATTACTGATGTGCCAAGTGGAAATTGTGCACTTAAATCCATGGTCACTCCTCGCCAAATGGTTGATGATGGAGCGCATGGTAATTTGGTCAGTGCAGTTAAAAATAGTTTTAGATATTTGAAATAAGGACGAAGATTCTCACGAGTGTCCTTTTTGAGGGTACAATTGAGCATTGAATAAAGACTTTGTTGATTTTCTGTCCATTCAATTGTGTAGAGGCGAATTGCAGCGCTTTCATCAATTGTCAATCCATCGGGTGGTTGCTCGGAAGTTTCATTCAAAGCTAGTTCAACGTAGTACGACAAATTGGGAATAATACTGGTTAGCGGAGCACATGCTTTGACAAGTGGCAGTAATGGCTCTTCAGCGTACCCAACAATAGGACCAAGGTTTGCTGCAATATCATTGATGATGTTCGAAATTGTCAACGTTGATCCTTCAGTGACAGCTTCGACCAGTCGACGATTTTTTATTATAGTGTTATTTGGTGTATTATTAGAATCCTCCACAACCATCATCTGTTGATTTTGATCGAGTATTTCTTCTCTATTTTTGTTAAGACATGACGCAACAAACGTTGTTGGGGAATTAATCTGGATATTGATACCGTGATTCATTATATCTTGTAGATCACACGTTTTTCCAATACTGAGCTTGACTGTTGTGTTGTCAGTCTGAATGCCAACATCCTTGGTCACCAAAGGTCGTCGATCATTCGTTATTTCGTCATCAAGTTCGATTTCTGATAGTTCAAACTGAAGATACTTATTGTTCATCGCTACTTTTCTCTTTTTATTATAACTTTCCATCATCTGGTCCTTTATGATGCGTATTGGTGCTTGAAAAATGAAAACCAATAAATTTTCATGGTAATAGAGTCAAGTGGCGATTAGTAAAAAGCAAGAATTGTTGATGAATTTTCAATACAGAAATAACAGATTGCAACTGTAAGGAGAATAAAAGCGAACACGGATGCTCAATTCGTAATAGATTTTTCCAGGTGCATGTCTCAAACAGAAAATATTTTGAAAGAAGCAGTTAAGTTCAATGAATTTCATAGGACAGCTGATAGCAGCATCAAAAATAAACTTTTGAAAATTAGTATTCTAGATTTATTTGACACTATGAATCAATAGCTTATTTTCAATGACGAGTAGTATATCAGTGAAATTTATCATACTGGAGTGACTGCATCAAACATTTGAATCTAACTTTCGAATGCATTAGTAAAAATTTCTTGTCATAGAGATAGCAGTACTCAAGTCAGTACAAATTCCAAATACTGCAGTGATACAAAACAGAACCTATAAATTAGCATGCAGCACCTGTCTAATACATTCGACACGATGAGATCTATCGGTGGATCTCACTATACATTAACAAGAAGCTTAATAGAAAATAATTTTTTTCGCTTTTTCTTAGACGGCAGATTACTAATAATGTGTACTCTGCTTTGTCTTCACGAATTTTTGAATCATTTACTGCATAGCGTGATGTTTCTCGATAAAATAATCAAGACAATAACATTTACCAGAATCAGAACAGAAGGTTTTTATTTTCTTTGCTATTGCCAGGTTCACTTCCCTTGACTGTTGTGACCTGATTTTCTCATAGCGATTAGCGCAACGTCTTCCGACATCGCGAAAAGATTCTTCTTTTTCGTCATGCTTGTGATCAGCGAGTTTGCGCCTCGTTTTCGCGAAACTGGAGCATGGCCGCTTCGCTGGTGGCATAATTTTCCTTGTAAATCAAATAGCTATTTACTATTGCTGTCCCAAAACTCGATTCATACCTTGTCTTCCTTGGCTATAGTCTACTACAACTTGTGGTTTCGTAATACGTTCATTTTGGATATTAGTTTTTTCAGTGTCTACCACAGAAGCTATATGATATGGTCTAGTAGAGATCATTAAAACATCTTTTTATATCTGCCCAAATGATCAATTTTGATGCTATCTTTATTCTGAAGCCCGTAAACTTCACCGCAGCGCAGCTTCTTTCTGAAAAACTTCCTTGCTAGATCCCACACGACTACTTCTCAATAACTCAATAAGATACGCATCATGTTCAATAAATTCATTACGACTGTTTGAGCATGTCCAAAAACCTTTCATAGGATCTTAATCAACAGTATAAATTACAAAATTTTGAAGTACATCCATTAGTAGCCGCTAGCTTCTCTACTTTGACACCACATTCAGGGTGTGGAGCCAAGAAAAAGCAAGCCCACCCACACCTTCATCATCCGTAACTTCTTCGTCAGAACTTCCAGATTCAAGGTACATTGTATCACAATCAGTACCCAAATAGCTCACTTCATTGGATGAGCTGACATTATCTTCCGTAGTGGTTTCTTCAAACGATATGTAAATTAGTCCGAAATTTCAATCACTTTTACACA